TAAGAGACGGCACTCTGGTAGTTCTGGTGGTTAGAAAATACGGTGCCTTTAAATTAGTTGTACAATGGCGGGAAATTTAAGTCAAGTGAATTTCAGGTCAACCACTAATAATTAGAAATTTGTTGTAAATTTTCTTTGTATCATTAATATTAGCTTTCGAAGTATCTACATACATTAATTTTACTGCATTGAAGAATTGAAAAAGAATGACATATGCTAACATGATTATACAATATATTTTAAGCATATATATTACAGAAATGATTATTTAATTTTAGTTACAGAAATGATTATATCAGTTATTTGTAGAATAACTTATCAAGAAATATCAAAGAATGTATCACAAAAAAATGCAGAGAAATAACAAAATATGTATTGTAAATTGCTAGCGAACGTGTAGGTGTAGACAGTTCTGCGCCGACCGCCATACTTGCTACAGTGCGTATGCGCGTTTCAAAATACCGCGTCGAAATTGTACTCCCACCACTCATTCATTTGGCTTGGGCATTTAAATTTGTTGTGTTCTATGTTTCTTTTTAAGGAGTAGCTTTCTTGTTGCCTCTTGTGTCTCTATTCTTTGACGGTGCTTGAAGAAGTGCAGCTTTGAAGCTTTGCGCGCGAAATTTGAACGCGAAAGAGGGTGTGAAAGACAAAAATGAGAGTTACGTTAGAGTGACTATAATATAATTGCTGTAGTATTTATACAGTATAGTGTAGTACAGTATACAATCTATATAGTACAATATAGTACAATTTTACTATAATTTTACTCTATGAGTGTAATATAGTATATTATCTATGTAATGTAATATGATGTACATGAAGTATAATATAATAACTATGTATAACACTAAGTTAGTGCAATCATAGTGCAGGCAAGATTATCTCCTTATTTAGCGTGTAAAGAATTAAAGATCATGTCCTAACAAATTATGTATTATATTTCCAATTTATGACATATTTTGCATTTAAATTTGACGCCTAAACGATCCAAAATAATTCTACTCCTGATTAAACCATTGTTACTACTAAAATTGCTGCCCCTAGTGCAACTTCCCGATTTAAGTGGATAACACTGTATAATGCAAAAGAGTCCTGTCCAACCGTTAGCGTTTCGTATCCAGGCGAATCGGAGCGAAACACGCGAGTACGCGAGCCTGCACGCACGAGATGCGCTCATTTTTGTGCATACGTAACGTAGATTATGCGATATACGCCGTTTGATGAGCCTGCTTCTGCGTTAACGATGATCATTATAGAATTGTGAATGAATCGAAGTCCCAAAAGTCTGAAATCGCAGTTCTTTTGGGAACTTAAAGTTTTGGAGTTTTGGATATAGGAAATTTTGATATTGAAATATTTTTGGGATAGTTTTGGGAATTTTGGGATTTTGGGAAATTGCAATTTTGGGACATTTTGGAGAAGTTTGGGAAATTGAGATTTTAGGACATTTTTGGCAATTTTGAGAAATTGAGAAATTGGGATTTTGGGAGATTTTTGACTATTTAGAAAAATTGGGATTTTGGGTAATTGGGGTTTTGGAAAATTAGGATTTTGGGAAATTGGAATTTTGCGACATTTTTGGGGATTTTGAGACAATTGGATTTTGGGAAATTGGGCCATTGACATCTTAAAATCTTAAGATGTCTGACTATTGACATCTTGGAATCTTATGATTTAGCAACTTTGGGAATTTGGGATTTTGGAATTCTATGATCTTAAAATTCACGAATCATGTAACTTTGCAATTTGTAGAATTTATTGCATTTTGAAATCTTAAAATTTTTAAATCTTCAAATCTTAAAGTCCTCAAGTCTTGAAATCTCAAAATGTCGAAATCTGCTTATCAAGACATTTCATCTACCCCAAAATTTCATAACCTTGAAACCCAAGTACTTCTGCACCTCCCCACAAAAATTATCCAACCCCACAAATTTAAACTTGAAATCTAAGTATAATTTTATCAACACATCCGCTAAATCCTCCTAAGGAATGGTTATGGGTCGGAGGTAGCCGCGCGACCGTGTAATTCAGACATTACGCCAAGCAAGAATCGTATACACTGTACAATGCGTTTGGTTTCACGTTACGAGGTGAGAGAGAGGCACACGTGTGGACGGGCGTGTGCGAAAACTTCGCCTTTTGCCGCTGATCTTTCGCAATCCCGACGACAGAAACTGCTCCCGTTCGTTTAATTGCACGCGCCTTGTGTCGGGACGCTTTCTCGCGCGTTCCATTCGATAAAATACTCTTAATACTCTTCAAGGTTTACTTCCATACGATATCTCATGTGAAATTTAACACAACTCTTCGGGATATCAGACCACTTACATTCTTGAAGAAATTAATTTGAAAAATGCGATATCGAATGTGAAATTTAATGCAACTTTTTCTGGATATAAGAACACACGTTCTTAGTGAAGTTTGAAAAATATCTGATGTGAAATTCAATGCAACTCTTTGGGATAACAGAACATTTACATTCTTGATGAAATTCGTTTGAAAAATGTCTAATGTGAAATTTAATGCAAGTTGCAATTCGACAGAAATTTAGGTTAAGTGCTTTATCGATGGAGATCGTGTAGATACATTTAGATTTGTTGATAAAACTGTTTTAGAGAAGAATGTTGTAAAGATCACTGTTAAAATATTTCATAAACTTGCACACTTCAAATTCTAATGAAAAAGTGAGTTAGGTTGAAGAATTTCATTTAGGTTCATTGATGGAGACATTTTGGAGAACAACATCCTAGAGCTAACTGTTATAGTATTTCAGAATGACTGCCACAAACTTGTACAATTCAAGTTTGAATTGAAAATCAGCTCACAAGGATGATTACATAAAAAATTTGAACTGAACAGACGTTTAGGGTGAAGGATTTCATTTAGGTTCATTGATGGTGACATTTTGGAGAACAACATCCTAGAGCTAACTGTTATAGTACTTCAGAATGACTGCCACAAACTTGTACACTTCAAGTTTAAATTGAAAATCAGCTCACAAGGATGATTACATAAAAAATTTGAACTGAACAGACGTTTAGGGTGAAGGATTTCATTTAGGTTCATTTTGGAGAACAACATCCTAAGGCTAACTATGAAACTACTTCAGAATGCCAATCAAAAGCTTGTACTCTTCAAATATAAATTTCGAATTAGCTTATAAGGATGGTGGTATTAAAGTTTGTTCTCAACAAAAGTCCAGGTTAAAAGATTTCGTTTAGGTTCATCAACGATGACGTCTCAGAGAACAGCCTCCTAAGGCTAACTGTGAAACTACTTCAGAATGCCTATCAAAAGCTTGTACTCTTCAAATATAAATTTCGAATCAGCTTACAAGGATGATGGTATGAAAAGTTTGATCTCAACAAAAGTCCAGGTTAAAAGATTTCGTTTAGGTTTATCAACGATGACGTTTCAGAGAACAGTCTCCTAAGGCTAACTATGAAACTACTTCAGAATGCCAATCAAATATAGATCACTCAGCTCACATCCTAAATTAGTAACAAAACAGAAGGCTGAAATTGTAATTTATCAATTCCGCAGAACAATGATAACCTTGACTCAACTCCGCTCCGAAACTCCCTTTCTCGAACAAATTCCCTAGATTCTGGCTAGAGCATCGACAACAGAGGTTCGAAAGATGGGTCACTAGTGAATCACCGTGTTTCGTCAAGGTAGCGCATAGCGACTCGTCTATTTCGAGTTTGGAGGGCTGCTGAGGGACTCGGTGACGTCGAGAGGTGACTCGTCTATGATTCAACTCGTCCACCTCGGTCTTACCAGAAACTGTACCATCCATACATATTTACGTGTGTGCGTAAATTGCCGACGTTAATCGAGAATACACACCTGGACTCGTCGAGAGTTATTTTCGCGAAGAACCGAGTAATGGCTCGAAGGACCCTGAATGTGGGTTACCAAACGAGACGAGAACTCTGAGGAGATCCCTTGTTTTTGTTTCGGTCGCGATTAATCGACGTGACAGCTCGATGTGGCTCTGATGTTAACGTTGCAGGATGAGAGTTTCGTGTGGGAGTTTGTTTGACCTCTGATTGTTGAAGCTGATTATCGTAGTTACATTATTTTTGGACTTGGTGGACTCGTTGCGCTATTTTTAGGTCGATGATGAAAAATTACGATGGAATTTGAAGGGGCTTCGATAGAATGAATTTGAAGGATCGGAGCATTTGAAGTAATAGTGTGCATGGTAGTGATGTATCAGGTTTCGTGGTATGTTGAGGTAATGCAATATTTCAATGGGAGTTTTAATTATAATATAAAGATAGTTAGTGATATTTATAGCAGATATTTCAAATTTAGAGCAAATGTATTTCGTTACAATATAAGAAAAAAATAAAGATTCTTCATGTCAAGAATTTTGGTGACTTATTGCAGACATAAGTTCTTCTACAATTTTTAATTGTATTTAATTGTAAATTAGCATTTGTAAATTAATTTAATTTAAATTTAGTAAATGTTAACTTTCCATTTCACTTGTCATAATATAACCTTCCTTTATAGCCGGTCGTAGGTATGCAGTGAAAGAAATGACCGGAAATGATCAGAACAAATTTTCTCATTTGTAACTAAAATTCTTCGTTACACTTTTTAACACATCACAATATCGCGATGTTATATAACACCTTATCAAATAAACTTTTCAACCAAAATTCACTTATCATTATTTCTGTATTATCAATTGGAGAAGTCCAACATAATCTTCTCTTTAGAAATAAAGTTTGAGTCATCACTGTCCAGGTGAAGACAAGAATTATTTAAAAAAATAAATATGTCAAAATTTAAATACAGAGTATAGTGACTTGGGAGAAATAAAAAATGTTGAATGATAAACAGATTGTACTAATTGCAAGACTAAAAAATTTTGCATCGAAAAAGATCTCCAAAAATGATCACATTTTTACTAAACTTGATATTTTTTACAAAGTAAAAAATGTTGGTACACAGTAAAAAAATAATAAAGAGTGGAAAAGACTTACCGTTTCGTGGCCTCGCTACGGACGGAGTGCAGGCGTAATATTCGCGATCGAAGCAAAAATCAGCGACATCGCGAAACGAATCGTTGGCTTCGAAATCGGAATACTCGAGTCGTCGTGCTATCGGATTTCGGTTCGTTATCTCGACGCATTCTTCTGTCGCATTTTGTTTCTCGCGATAACTGCCACCTGCGTAACTAAACGAAACGACAACTCGATCAGTCACGATCCTTATACGGGCTAATTACTTTCTATTTAACGCCACGGTGATCACATGTGACTGACGCTGGAGGTACTGGTAAATTAATTGTTTACGGATGGAGTAAACGAAAGAGCTAATATTGAGACAATGATATATGCTAACGGATCAAAAGATGAGATTGGAGGATTAAGTACTTTTGTTGTTATGTCATGTGTGACATATGTGAACGACGCTGCAAGTTTGGTTAAAGGAATTATTTATAGAAAAAAAAAGAAAAAAGCTTTTAAAAATTATTAGTGTTGAGATAATAATATATACTGATATATTAAAATATGAAATTTGAAAGATTAAGTACCTTCGTTCTTATGTCATGTGTGACATATGTGAACGATGCAGCAAATTTGGTTTATCTAATTATTTATAGGAAAAGAAAAACAAAAAGAACTTCTGAGAATTATTAGTACTGAGATAATGACGTATATTGATATATTGAAACGTAGAATTGAAGGATTCAGTACCCTTGTTCTTATGTCATATGTGACATATGTGAACGGTACTGCAAATTTACTTAAATTAATTATTTACAGACAAAGTTAACGAAAGGAACATTTGAGTACTTCTAATATTATGACAATGATGTTCTAACAAATTATAACATGAAATTGAAAGATTAATAACCCTTGTTATGTCATATGTGACATATGTGAACAGCGTTCTGAATTCAGTTAAATTAATTAATTATAAAAAACAATAAATGGAAGGAATATTTAGGAACTAATATTGAAACAATAATATATACTAACTGATTAAAACATGAAATATTCTTGTCTTTACTAATTTATACATATAGCTGCGTATCTAACCATACGTCAGTTTTCACCATGGCGGTTAATATATTAATTAATCAATGCCTACCTGCGATTCATGGACCAAGCGTACTCAAATGTCGACGAATCCTGTCGTTGTTGACGATTTGTTAAACTTTTAACGTCAGTTTCTTGGGGTAGAAAGAGGTCCCTCAGAGCTACGTATTTAGGAGGACTCTCTGCTGACCTCTCGCTTAGGCTCTGGTCACGATAGGTGCCGTAAAATGGCGACGGTACACCTGCAAGTTTCATTCGTTTAGTTATATTAGTTAGTTAGTTAGTTATATTATTTAGTATAGTGGTTTGTTAATGAATAGTTTGGGTCATTTAAATTATTAATTTTGTTCTTTGATTTGAAGTGGTAAGTTTATTTCTTAATTTGAAGCGTTCATTTTGTTAAATGACTTGTAGTATTCATTCTATTACTAGATTTGAAGTGTTTATTTTGTTATTCAATTTGAAGTCTTCATTTTGTTATTAGATTTGAACCGTCCATTTTCTTATTGAACTCGAAGCGGCTATTTTGTTATTGGACTCGAAGCGGTCATTTTGTTATAGGATTCGAAGCGGCCATTTTGTTGCCTGATTTACAGCGTTAACAATCATCTGTTCTGATAATAAATAAAATTTCAAGATACATTTCTAAAACTTATGTATTTATTCCAATAAAACTATGTAAAAATCGTAAACTGATTCTAAAAAATGAAACTTATTCACAATTATTATCTCTAAGAATATTTATTAAATCTTTCATGCCCCATCAATCTGATCAACCATAAATATAAACTTTTAATATTCCATTAATATTTAATTTCAATAAAATATCAGGCATAAATGTAAACAATTTCTTTTTACAGTTAAGTCTAAGAAAAGTAGTACAAAGTATAGACAGTACAAAACAGTATAAATGACTAAAAAGTAAATAATTTAACGATGGCGTAAAGGAAATGATTACGCAATGCTTCGTCGAAAGAGAAATGTAATAACGCGTAATGTATAAGTGCCAATGACGCGTTTCTCTAAAAAAAAAAGAAGAAGAAGAAGAAGAAAGAGAAATAGTTGCAAGATCTTTAACAATCGCAACTGCTTGTTTTTCTCTCCGTTTATTCTTGGATCGTCGACTCATATTTTCCATCGCATTCCGGGATTACCTTACCGTCTATTTTCATACCGCATCATCCAACAGCCGTTCATTCTGCATGGAACCGTTCGACTACTTGATCCCTCGGACATATTAATCTACTTCCTTCAATATTCAATAATTGCACTTCAAATCTTTTATACTTCAAATTTTATAACTTCAGAATTTGATTTGTGATCTTTGTGAAATTTTAAAATACTTTACTTCAAAATTTAATTAATTTAAATACTATTTAAATACTGTTTAAGTAGAGGGTAAAGTTTAACTTCAAGTAGGTTAGATTAGTGACCTTCGAGAAATTTTAAAATACCTCAATTTTTTATTTTACTAATTTTAATACTATTTCAATCGTAGGTAAATTCTATTGTCATAGAGATAGAGTTAGGTTAGGTTAATGACCTTCATGAGATTTCAAAATACTTCACGTCTTTATTTTAGTAATTTAAATACTCTTTAAACACCAGGTGTGTTTAAACCTCAAGTAGGTTAGGTTAGGTTAGGTATCGTGATGGCGCAACGATCGCTTGTTGATGTTTCGAACATGACAGAGTAACATAATCTCTTCTCCATTCACATACTAGTACTTCACAATTTTCGTGACAAGTTTCTTTAGCTATTTTCATTTTCATTTTTTAGCTGTTTCAATTCTTATTTGTATTATTGCTCTAGCAACTTAATATTTAATATTTTACTTCAAATTGTAAGAATACGTGGAGTTAATTGAAATTGTGTAATAACATTAGAGAACATATGTATACTTTGCATTTAATACTAGTTTTATTTATTGAATTACTTAATTTAGTTTGATAGTATTAATTATATTTATTGAATTATAAACTTCAATTATAAATTACTGATTGAATTTGTTCAATTCTATATTTCAATTATAAATTACTAATTTTATTCAATCAATTACATAAACTACATAATTTAAACAAATTTATTTATTCTTTAAATTATCTGAAAATTCTGTAACTGAAAAATATCGTAGAAATAGTATATTCTATGCAGAGATTAGTTTCGTAGATTTTAAAATTAGCAGATTGAATCACAAGTTTAGATAAATATTTAACTTATGACTAACAAATGAAGAATCTCAGAAGAGAACAACAATGTTCCAATTCTAATTTTAATTCACATATTGTTAACTTTTTAAAAACGACTCATTTCCTCAACTTTAAAATTAGATGATTAAATCAAATGTTTCCTTAAATATCCATTATATTTGTTGGCTAATTTTAGGTTGGTTAGTCATTCAATTAATTTAATGCTACTTCTAATTCTCTCTAATTTAATTTCTGAATTTCCAATTCTTACACATTTAATATTACTTTGCTAAAATAAAAAGATTATAAGTTTACTTTATTTTTATATTTACAGTTCAGTTTTCTCAAAATAACTTTATTAATGCAACTTCTAATTCTTTTAACCTTACAAATTTAATATTACTTTGCTAAAATAACAAAATTACGATTTTTTTTATTTTTACATTTGCACCTTTTCAGTTTTTTCAAAATAATTTTATTATCAATAACAAAATTTATAATTCAATTATAGTTCATGTATAATTCGTATATTCTAAAGAAATTTACTGTAGAAATATTTTATTATTAATTTTATTTCACTTTGAGAAAATAATTGCAAGATCATCAATTACCAAATAAAATTCTAAATACCATAGGAAATAATAATGTAAAATATCATAACAAATATCCAAAAACTAATAAAAAGAATGTACATAAAAATGTAGGATTCACAAAATGTTGCAACTGAATGAAAAAAAAAAGTGCAACAAAGTTTCAGCAAAGTGGATAGTTAAATTAATAATGACAAATATAAAAAATATAACAAATATAAAGAATGATAAAAATATGAAAAAAATTATAATAGAAAGAATCTATATAAAAATATAAAGCATTCATAAAATGTTGCAAGTGACGTAAAAAAAATGCAATAAAGTTACAATAAAGTGGGTCGTTAATTTCTTAAATTTCAACGTCGGATTCATAATACTTCAATTACGTAAAACATTTTCAAGAACCGTCCCGAAGAAACTGCATAAAACTTTCGCCACGGTGTTAAATTTCCTCGTTCCAAATATAAATGATCCATCCACCGACTCGAGTGATTAACGAAAAGCTCAATTAACATCCCCTCTCGATGTATGCAAACGCGTTTTCGTGTTAGTAACCCCGAATGTTAACAGCGATGTTTCGCTCTACATATTTCTTTTACTCTCCCGAAATAAGTGGCTGCCTGAAATACGTACATATGACTAATCTCTTGCAACAAGAGCAAGGTGAAACAATGCGTTTGATACACGTAATTGTGGCATTGAACATTTCGATCTTATTTTTCTGGCTTACCTCATTCTGTACGTTCAAATATTCTCGGATTTTTTTTAAAAGGTTTACGCATATGGAGGATACGGAGATTTTAATATGGAGGATGCAATAAGGCGTGCAATAAGGCGCGAATTTTGAAAATTATATTCGAATATTTTTATGTAATTTACTAAAAAATTAAGTGAGAGATATAAAAGTGAAGAAGTTTGAAAATTTTAATTTTTAATAATTTGATTAATTTAAGTTTTTAGGATTTGTCAAAATTTGCTATGTTTTATGTGTGTGATTTATAATAAAATTTAACTCTGTTACTTTGACTTAGATTAAATTTAGTTAGTGGTATCAGTTACTGGCAACTGAACTGTTAGCCAAAATGTCAATTTAAGTTTTTGGGATGTTATTTTGTATTAGGAGTAAGAAGTAATGTGTGATTATTTTAAATATTGATAGTTTATTGAATTTTCTTTGTGATTAGTTAGATTGAATTTTTAACTTTGATTAACTTTGATTTAAATGTCCTCAATTCTGTAGTCTGTAAATTCTCTAAATTCTGCCAATCCTGTACTTAATTCTATAAATTCTATAAATTTTTTAAAATCCATTAATTCTAGAAAATCTGAGGATTCTAAAAATTCTAAAAATTCTAAAAATTCTAAAAATGCAAAAAATTCTAAAAATTCTAAAAATTCTAAAAATTCTAAAAATTCTAAAAATTCTAAAAATTCTAAAAATTCTAGAAAATCTAAGGATTCTAATAATTCTAAAAATTCTAAAAATTCTAAAAATTCTAAAAATTTCAAATATTCAAAAATTCTCAAAACCCCAAAAATCCCAAAAGTCCTAAAAGTTCAAAAATTCAAAAATTCAAAAATTCTAAAACTTCTAAAAATTCCATAAACAATTAAAATCACATTCGAAATTTGAATATTTCATGTATCACAGCTATAATTCACTAAATAAAAATGCCTAATTTCGCAACTAAAAAATAAAAACAAAAATTTACATATAAATCTTAACTCATAGCGTTCATCTACGTGAAAAAGAAAGTCTACGAAAAATATAATATAACTTTTCCATGCATTCTTGATGCATAAAAGACAAATAAATTAACTGTTAGGATAAATTGCTGTCAGTTCATAATTCGTTATGGTTGGTAATAAATTAAGTATTATGAAAGATGATTTATGACGTTACATATACTGTTACTGTTACATTCATGATTATATGTATAACGAAAATAAGTTTGTAAGCGAATTTCACTTATTAATAGAACTAAATGAATTATTTGTGACATGAAAATAGGAACTTGTCTAGTATGATAGATTCATTGCTTCATTTTAGATTAATTCTCTCAACATTATACATTCATAGTTTATACGAAAGCTTCATAGTTTTATTACAATTTATTCCAACAGTATTAATTTACAAATTATGGATTAAATAATTTTAATAATTTGACGGTTCATTTTGGTACAATAATTTTGACTAAGAAAGTTGTAAATTAATTTTTTTAATTAATATTAATATTTGTAGTAATTTCTTTTAATATTTCTTTGAATCATAACTGCATCTTTTCATTGATTCATTAATTTATATTAGTCATTTTTCTGTGTATATTATTTTTAATTTGAAATCATATTTAATTTTATATTTCAGTAATTAATACTTGCAAATTATTAATTTTTGTTACTCTGATTTAGTTTCACACTCTGGTAATTTGAAAATTAGACATTTCTTTATGTATATTAATTTAGAACAGAAAATATTGTTACAATATATTTTACTAATTGAAATTTGAAGATTGATGATTTTCTAAAATTCTTTTGTGAGATATAAAAATTGCAAAATATTAAATTGACAACTAAACTTGTACTCTTAACATTTCTTTCTCTTTATAAAATTATTATTCAAAATACAATAACTAATGTGTCAATAAAAAGATGATTTTAAAAAATAAATTTACAAAATCAGAAATTTAGCTGCAAATTTTACAAAATTAAATCATACAAAACATCGAACCGTCAAAATATTAACTACAATTAACTATAAACATAACAAATAGTGTTAATTTCACATTTAAAATAACTACGTCATGCTGATACCCAATTACATTAGCACAGGGCGAATCCAGAAGTCTTCAAACCGAGCAAAATATATTTTAATACAATTCATAAAACTTGTTCACAATTAATTTACTAATATTTGCATCCCACAGTAATTGAATCAAACAATTTACATAAATATTCATAAAACAAAGTAAAATATATTAACAAACACAGTACGTACACTTAAATAATTTATTTTACTTAAACTAATATGAAAAATGTTACAAAAATTAATAATATTTATATCAACAAGCTATGATAATTGAAAGATGAAATTTAAGTTAAACTAGGATCTTCACAGCTAAACTAGTATATTTAAAATTAATATTAACAACTGATAAAACCATTAAAATTAACAAAAAATTATCATAAGTAATTTGAAAAAATTGCTATAATACTATAATAATTATAAAACTAAGTAATTTTTTCAGCAACATGAATTGTTTTAAAAATTGCATAAATTTTGAAAAGTTTAATTTTGCTGCCCCTTCTGCATCCGCCACTGCATTAGCAACGACCTACCATTCTGCACCATTACCAGCGATGCTCCAGCAACGTGAAAACCGGCAAAGAGCAATCAGAAGAGGGAAGAAAATAGATCAGGGACAAGGGTATGAAAAATAATTCGTTACACCATGATACCCAAGTTTTTTTTTTATATTGCAGAGGAAGCACACGTTTATTTACACAATTATACCAATCAATTGTTGCTGCAACGAGTGACAAGTATATTCAATAACAATTCGATTTATTCGCCATGTATTGCAATATTATTCAAACGTCCGTGAGGCAATAACATATATTATTTTCGAAAGTGTCAAAAAGGACACCGTTAATCGAATAAATAGCTCTGTGGTTCGCGTGTGACTAGCATTGGAAAGAATCACGGCTCTCGATTTGAAAATTGACGTTCAAGATGGCCGGCTAAAACGCGTTCAAGATGGCCGGACTAAAAACCGCGATTCTATGGCGGAAAAAGAAAGGAGAAAACGGAAAGGAGTTGCGTGCTCAACGAGAAAATGAAGAGGACCCGAGAAAGAAAGAGAAAAGAAAGAATGAAAAAAGATAGAAACGACCTACTAAAAAAAAGCGTTTTCGTTCCACGGCAACAACGACAGAAAAAAAAAAGAAAATGCATTCGAGGAAGCTCACTACGCGCTGATCAAAGGAACAAAAAAGCGTATCCACCAGCTTTCGTGAATTTTCTTCTCACTAATATTCGATCAGTTTTCGTGACTAGGTTCTCCTCGCCCCTTTCGCAAAATGCAGATCGTTAAAAATTTCACGAGTCCGAGTTTGATTGATTTTAGCAATAAAATTGCATTTACGTTTCTTTGGTCTCGGGAAGGATCGAGCGAGTCTCGAACGAAATTAGAGGCTCAGTATTCCACCACCTTCGTATTAGATTTTCACATTGATTGTTGCTCGTTAATTAAATAGGCGCGTATACTGATCGTCTGTTACCTGGCACTAGCAAAGTGGCAGAAGTTACTGTCGAACCTAAGCTATTCGTTGCGGTGCACGCGTATGTGCCAGCGTCCTCTGAAACGGAAAAAATATTCGTGTTTAATTATACACTTCGCTTGAAGAATAAATATTGAATTCGTCTTACTTTGAGAAAAAGTAAATTTCAAGTTTACGATATTAAGGTGTAATTGTTGAGGTAGAACTTCCTCTGTATTCTGACTGTTGCTACATGTAAATACACACATGTATATTATGAAGCAATATGTGCACATATTATATGTTGTTCATACTAAGAAACAATAAGTATATATTTTAAGGCAATTTTTATATATGAATATATATTATAAACAAACATATGTATATTTTAAAGCAATCTTTATACATAAATATACATCGTGAAACAAATATATAGTACACCTTATTAAAGTACAAAATTATACTATTTTTATATATGAATATATATTATAAAGAAATAAATGTATATTTTAAAGCAATCTTTGTACATAAATATACATCGTGAAACAAATATATAGTACACCTTATTAAAGTACAAAATTATACTATTTTTATATATGAATATATATTATAAAGAAATAAATGTATATTTTAAACCAATCTTTGTACATAAATGTACATCGTGAAGTAAATATATAGTACACCTTATTAAAGTAAAAATTTATGGAAAACATTGAAAATATTTAATTTGTTCTTAATTAGTGATGGATATAATAGATACACACCAGGAAAGGCTCGCACAATGGTAAGACGACAAACTCCGTTTCGATAATGGATCTCGTAGCTTATTGAGTTCTCGATTATCCTGCCATCTTTTGACCAAAGGATATTAGGCTGAGGTTCAGCCTGAACGATGCACTCGAATCTCGCTGTTTGTCCGCTGACGACTGCGATGTCTCTCAGAGGCTATAATTTAGAATAGTAATATTTCTGTAAATTAGCTAAATTATATCTTGGTGAAACTATTATGTAATATGTGCTTTGAATTCATCTTGATGTTTGAGTCTACTCTTGATATGTTGGTGAAAGTATCAATGTATAATATGAAGAATTGATACAATACATTGAAGAATGAAAGAATGAAGTGAAGAATAAAATGAAGAATAAAATATTAAAGAATGAAATTAAAAATGAAATTAAGAATACAATTCATTGAAGAATTAAATTAAGAATGAAATTAAGAATACAATTCATTGAAGAATGAAATTAAGAATGAAATGAAGAATACACTTCATTGAAGAATTAAATTAAGAATGAAATGAAGAATACAATTCATTGAAGAATGAAATTAAGAATGATATGAAGAATACAATTCATTGAAGAATGAAATTAAGAATACACTTCATTGAAGAATGAAATTAAGAATGAAATGAAAAATACAATTTATTGAAGAATAAAATTAAGAATGAAATGAAGAATACAATTCATTGAAGAATGAAATTAAGAATACACTTCATTGAAGAATGAAATTAAGAATGAAATGAAGAATACAATTCATTAAAGAATGAAATTAAGAATGAAATTAAGAATACAATTCATTGAAAAATGAAATTAAGAATGAAATGAAGAATGGAATGAAGAACACAATTTATTGAAGAATTAAATTAAGAATGAAATGCAAAATACAATTCATTGAAGAATGAAATTAAGAATAAAAGAATGAAATTAAGATATTTAAACGAAATTAATATATTACCGTGATGAAAAGAGGAGCCTTTTTCGGTAGAATTTCCAGATAAGGCTGAATCACTTCTTTGCTCGATGTAACTCCGTTAGTGGTTGGCCACGGTGATCCTAGAATAACCAGCTCGATTTAACTCACACAAATCTAGGAATACTTGAATAACAGCAGCGCATTCTTCGTTGAAAAATTGATTAAATGTGACAAGGAAATTCGATAGTGTCACAGTTGCAACGAAAAGGCAAAACCGGTGAGAATAAAGCACAAATAGGCAACACTTCAACAGTTACAGCATCTGACATGCTTCTAACTGAAGCAAGAAGGCAAAATTGAATAAGAAGCAAAATTGACCTCAAGGCAAAAAGTACATCAAGCAAGCTTTGAAATTCTCAACAATAAAGAAGCATTTAACACTTGGAGCACGCAGAAAATTCTTTGAAACCCCACTTTTTTTGGAATAAATGCAAGGCTGACAAATGAGCTTGAAAACAAGGCTGACAATGAAAATAAATTTTCTCTAGGAGAATTATTGGATAATTGGATCACAAAAAATTGTTTAATTCAAGTTGTAGAAGAACATAGTGGAGGTATGATGGATTTTGAGCAACTCTCGGAAATTCAAATTGTAAAAATTACCAAAAGACGAAGGCAAACGTGCAGAAGCGAAGATGAGTGCACGAAGCAACTTGCAAGTAGCAATGGAACTCTCAATTTTGTGGAAGACTGCAAAATTATTCTAAAATTTCTTGAGTTTCAAATTTCCCAATTTCCACATTTTCCAATTTCTACATTTCTCAATTTCTACATTTCTCAATTTCTACATTTCCCAATTTCCACATTTCCCCATTTCCCCATTTCCCCATTTCCACATTTCCTAATTTCTACATTTCTCAATTTCCACATTTCCCAATTTCCACATTTCCCTATTTCCACATTTCCCAATTTCTACATTTCTCAATTTCCACATTTTCCAATTTCCACATTTCCCAATTTCCACATCTCCCAGTTTCCACATTTCCTAATTTCCACATTTCCTAATTTCCACATTTCCCAATTTCTACATTTCCTAATTTCCACATTTCTCAATTACCATATTTTTCAGTTTTCATATTTCCCAAATTCCACATTTTCCATCTTCTAAATTTCCCAACTTCCAAATTTCCCAAATTCCATATTTCCCAATTCCCAAGTTTCCCAAATTCCACAGATTTCCTAATTTCCAAATATCCCATCTTTCAAATCTCCCAAACTACCAAATGACCCAAACATCCAGATCTCCACTTCCAAATTCCCCAAACATCCAACTCTTCACTTCCAAATTTCCCAAACTCCAAATCTCCACTTCCAAATTTCCCACACGTCCACCTCTCCCCAAGCAAATGTCCAACCTTCCCAATACCCAAGATCTCAAATCCCCAAACTCCCACAAACAACCCTACCCCCAAATCCTCCACCTAACCCTACCCTCCACTCACCAATTTCTCCTAACCCCCATAAACCTCAACCTAACACCCCCATACCTAAAGCTCAAATCTGAACTGCAATTCCCACCACCACTTGCAAGTGACACCAAAACCCGTGCACAGGTGACAAACATTCGAAGCAGGTGAATACCTGCGGAATCGACGTTGCTGGGTGGTCCAGTGGCACTACTGTATCTGGGAGAGAGGCTCGGTAAGCTTGGGCTCAAGGAAAGCGGACTGGGCGTCGTGTGATCCCATCTGGACGGCGATGGTGAACAAGGTATAACAAGACTCGGTGGTGTCATCGCGTTCCCCTGCGAGTGCCTTTTTCTAGCGTTCCTGATGTCCTCGGATTCCGAGAACTCGCTCTCCGACGTCGGCTCCCATTTCACCGTTTTCGAGCTTCCAAATTTCCCGGTGGGTTTGCTCTGTCTGCCCGAAGAGGTGCTCCTCTTCGCGAAACCGTTCTCCTTTCTCGTCGTGAACTCGTGGACGATGGGCACCTCGATGTCGCTGGCTCGTCTCTGACCCTGGATCGTCCTGTTCGTGCTGCTCACCGTCTTCTTCCCTTCGCCGGGCAACACGATCCCGAATTCGTAGCCGAAGTCGTACTTGAAGTATATCAGTCCGGTGTCCGGGTCGATTTGCTTCGTTCCTGTGGTTTTAAAAGTTTTCTTGCTGGTCCTTCGCTAAGGCTCTTTTGGGGAATAGCTCTCGCAAGAGATTAAGCTATCGGCTATTTCTATAAAGCTTGCTTGCAGAATTTGCTCTTTAAAATTAGAAATTACCATGTTCCGAGAGGCGGGACTCTTCTCTGTACGTTCTTGGTTCGTCGTCTGCTCGAGTATCCACAGGTTGCTTCAGGATCGGTTTACCCTGCTTCAAGTCCGATTGGATGTCGGTCACGAACTTTTCGGTCTTCGACCTGAAGCTGCTGGTCATGTCGCTCATGTGACGCGACGCGACGTCTGCGGATGTTTCAGATTTGTTCGTGTTACGGGAGACAGCCAGCCGATATATTTTTCAAATTATTCGCTTCGTTTGAGCAAGAGCAAGAGAGGTTAGAATGAAGAGCGATGATGGCGCAGCGATTTTTGTCGAAATGAAACTGATAGATTAGAAGTTGATAAAAATTGTGAAAATTTATATGAGCTGTTTGAGTATGAGCTTTGAAATATTTTAGTGTTCAATTTGCATTTTACTTTTCTAATTTGTAATATTTGATAGAAGTTTGTTTTGAAGAGAAGCAGTGATATTTTAATTTGAAAAGAGAGAGAAATTTTTAGCTCTGAGTGAGTTCTAGGGTTTATATAGTTAAGAGTTATTCAGTTTTATGTAAAATGTTTGTATAAATGTTTATTCTGAATGAAAGAAGTACTTTTATTTACTGAAACTCGTACCTCCCTCCATAACTGATCGCGTGCAGTTAAGACAGTATTCTACTATACTTATCAACAAGCTTCTAATTTACCGAACTAAGATCTATTTACAGTCTCTGTTTTTCTTATATCCGTACAAGTAATTGTATCGACATTCTCGTCAAAATTTTCGTCCAAAAAAAAAAACAGACCGTAACACCATATTGTATAATTTACAGTGAATATGTTAAACATTACTGAACTTCTGTAAATATTTTTCAAAGAAGTATCATCAAGATTTTTCAAAGAAGTATCATCAAGATTTTACAAAGAAGTATCATTAAATTTCAGAGATTATCAGATTCATCGACGGCTCCCAAATCCTGCGCCTTCACGTAAGCAAAGAGACATCAACGTGATCTTACGATTGGCAGCCTTCTTGACGTCGCTCCTCGAGATGTATCCAAACTCAGGCGGCGACCCAGGCTTCAGTGTCTCATCCTGCCTGGAGACCTGCCTTTTGACCTGCGAGTCGAACCTGCTCTCGTCCCTGATCTGCGACATGGAAGTCTGTCTCCTCAGCACCGGTGGTCCCGTGTCGAACTCCATGGGTGACACGACGTGTTCCTGTCTCACCGGAGCGCTGGAGGACCTGACGCTCTTCGTGGTAGGTGGTTGGACCTTTCTGTATCTAGGCTCTTCGGTATCGCTCTCAGGAGGCGCCCATTTTGGTTTGATTCTGGTATCAATATCGCTTTCGTAGTCTGATTCCCTGAATTGACCTTGGACGAACTTCTTCGGTGTCGGCACTTTGTACTTCTGCTTCTCGTAGTCGGACTTCTGATCGCCGAATTTGATGACCCGGCTGGTTTGCTCGACGGTGACGATCCTTCTGCTGTTCTCCGTCGACTCGTCCATGCGGACCGTTTTCTTTGTCTCGGTGCCGATCGCGTTGTGGAACGGTATGCCCGATCGTGCCTCGTAGTACTGCGGCTGAGGAGGAGCGTAAGCGATCTCCGGCGGCGAACCAGGAAGAAGAACGGTCTTCGGCTTCACGGTCTCCTTCTTCTCGAAGGTCTTCGCTTTCTTCGACGCTTCCTCGATCAGCGAGCCTCGCGTCTCCTCCCGCACCTTCGGCTTTCCTATCGGGAGAAAATAGTTCCCGGCCTCGGTCAGAGACTGACATCGACGAAGAAAGCGGACAGAGGGCGTTTTTTTTCTGTTCTCGATTTTTTTGCTGAGCGTCGCCGTGGACTCTTTTCGGTTCGCGAGTTTTTAGAACGGAGGTGAAACAGTGAGCAGAAGATGAGAGGGTTAGACACGAGATACGAAAAGGGAAGATACAAGCGGGGAAACTCAACGTACGTACTTCGAGTGGCTGAGAAGAAAAGAGAGAAGCAAGCGAAGCGGGAAGAGAGGAGAACTTGTCTTGCGAGGTAAAGAACGAGAAGGGAAGAAAGCTTGCCAGTAGGACTACTTGTTGTAAGCTGAAAAAAGTAAACGTGTCAGATACACATCGGTATTGATGTGTCGGTTTTATCGATGCTGGAAAGCGTTTTTGTGTACGAGAAAAGATTTCCCATCACCATGTTTTGAAGAAATTATCAGTGGAATTTTTATTCTATTTTTATTGTAACATGTTGAAGGTTATTTGCTGTGATTTGGTAGAAATTATCATTTGAAAGGGATATTTTATAGGGACTGTCTGTTATGTTTTTTTCAAGATTTATATATGCATAGAATTATATTTTTACAAGTCGAATTTTTCTCTTCATTTAAAATATTTAGGTCGTGTTTTAAAACTATGTTTCCCTGGTACTTGAAATTTTTCTTGAGAATTTTTTCAAGTCTAGTTACTCTTTAGAATCTGTTCTTTAGAATCTTAAATTTGTAGAAATTTAAAAATTTCAATTAAATTTTAAAATTCATCTAAAAATATAAAATTTCAATTAAATTTTAAAATTCATTTAAAAATACAAAATTTGCTAAGTAATAATTTCTGACCAACCACCCCAAATAACTATGTATACACAGAAAATCAATCAATAACGAATTAAATTCTATTAACAATGTATCAGCGAATAAAAATAAAATTTGTATAACATTATCAACGATTATACTCGAAGTTGAGGAACTAGTCGCAAGATAGGGAATCATAAATACCTGGACCAGTGAGATTAGGTTTCACGGGTCTGAAAGTTTGATCGTCACTTTCGTAGCCCCGTGGTTTCCAAAGAGGTGGTATTCTGCCGTCATAGTCGCTCTCGTAGTCGCTTTCTCGAAATTCGCCTTTAACGAATCTGGAAGGACTCAAAGATGGCGGCACTATCTTCTTCGGTGCCTCGAATTTCTTTTGCGATTGATCCGTGGTGTAAACTGTGTCCTGAAAGAAAGAACGAAATTTTAGGAAAAACTCGATTTGAGTATTGACACACTGTAGTGACGAACACGAAAAGGCAAACTTCATGTTGAATTAGTATATGCACTCACAATATTCACATGGTTTAAAGCAATAAATCATACTTTTATCAAATATATTATGAACTTCCTAAGCGAAACCTGTTAAAAATAGAATAAAATATTAATAAACAAACGAAAATCAACACAGAAATCATCAGTGTGTTCCTAAAATGTTGCTCCTTCAAGCGAAGACAAATGAAACGCAACTGTTACAAATACCGTAGCCTCTCATTATATTGCCACCCTGTAGCACAATATTCTTAAAATGGCCTTCATAGCAAACTCAAATAATTTACACAAGTTGAAACTATAATTTACATACCAAAAACTAAGAATTGTTAACAAATCACAAAACACAAAGTCTCCGTCAAAATTTCTCATAATCTCTCTACATAGATTTGCAAATCCCAAAAGTGGCAATATAACGAGTACCAAAAAACGCTCTCACGCAATTAGTGTCACTGCAAGCAACCAAAGAGCACACGCGTCGAACCTTAGCGGACATGAATCTCGGCGAGGAGACGGCAGAGGAAGCGTAACTCTTCTCCACAATGGAGGTGCGTTGAGGAGGTTGTTTCACACTGGTGGGCGCAGAAACGATCGATTCCTTCTTCTGTTGCTGTTGTCGGCTCTCGTAACTTTTGCTCTCAAAGAACTCCGAGCGGCTCTCGGAGTACGAAGTGCGCGACTCCATGTGCGAGGACGTCGAAGACGAGGACTCCTGTTTACCGAAGCTCTTCGACAATGAGGCAACCGAGGACTTCTGCTGTAAGGGTTCGTCGGTGTCCGCCATGTATCCGCTCTCCTGCTGGAACGTCTTCACCTTGAACTTCGGAGACTCTGGTTTCTTGATAGGTGGACTCTTAGGCGTAGGACTCTTGGCGGGCTGCACGTAGATCGGAGGAGAGCCGGGTTTCAGTTCCACGGGTGGAGGCGCCACCTTCGGCGGTTGATACTTCTGCTGTAATTCCTTCACCTCCTTCTCTTGTCTCTTGTACGTGGTGGTCTTCTTGTACGTCTTCTCCTGCTCCTTAGTGAGCACCGGCCGCGGCGGACCCGTGGATGCTGGAGGAACCTCGAACTTGGATGGAGGAAGAGGCTCGGGCTCCGTGGACCTCGGTCTGGGTTGCTTGGGCACTGGTGGCTGCACCCTTCGATAACGGGGCTCCTCGTTGTCGCTCTCATACGGCCGCCATTTTGCTTTCAAATGACCGTCGATGTCAGACTCGTAGTCGCTCTCCGCAGCGAACGATCCCTTCACGAACTTGGAGGGGGTTGGAGGAGGAGCTACCTTGGGGGTTTTGGGTGGCGTAGGGGATGGTTTGAAGGGGAAGGGTTCCAGTGGTTCTATGGGGGTCTTCGCAGGTATCGGCGGTGGGGTCATTCGGACGTCCTTCGGTGGTAACGCAGGGGGTTCCTCCTTCTTAAGTACTGGGGGAATCGTTCTGATAGCTCCCGGCGGGATTTTAGCCGGTTTATGTTCCAGCGACACCTCGAGTGTCTTCTCTATCTGCTCGATCTTCTTCTCTCTGACCACCGGCACTGGTGGGATGTATCCTATTTCAGGTGGAGGACCCGGCTCCAGAATAATCTGATCAGTCACGAGTGGTTCAACAGGTGGAAACGGAGCCATCGGCTTCTTAGGTGTCTCCAAACTCCTAACCAGACCGGGTGCCTTCAAATCCTCGGCACCGGTCCACTTCCTCGAGTAGTCCTCTATCTTCTCGGACTTCTGCGACTTCTTCACGTCGCACTCGCTGGAGTACTTCTGGAACAGAGACTTCTCCTCGAACTTGTTCAACTTGTGGTCCACCTTGATGGTCTCTGCGTTGTAGATAATAGGTCCTTTTGGAGGAGACGGTGCTCGTCTGGATATCTTCTCAGTGGTGTCTTGCTTGCTGCTCCAGGAGCGTCTCTCGACCGTGCTGGCGGTCTCTATGCTGGTCTTCTTGATTCCTCCTTCGGTCTCCTCGACTTCGGTCTTGAATTCCTTGCTCGACGTCTTGTAATCCTCCGCAGGCACCTGCCACTCGGGTTTGAACCTGGTTTCCTCCTGAGGCGGCCACGACTTCCTGCTGGAGTCCGCGCACTTTTTAGCCCAGGACTTCTCCATGGCCAGCGCGTCGGCCGACGGTCTCGGCGAGGAAGCCCTCAGGATCTCCTGGTGACTGGACGCTGCCGAGTGACACCTGTACTCCGATAAGTCGGTGGACACGTGCGACCTCGTCTCCACGTCCGAGGACGAGGACCAAGGCCTGCTGGGGGACACCGGTCTCATAGGCAGGTCCTTCTTCTCGTGGACGTCCTTCTTCACGCAGACCTCTTCGACTACCTCTTTCTTCTCGAGTTCGAATGGCGGAGGTGGCATGGAAAACGATGGAGGTGCGACTTTAGGTGTTTCGGGGATCTTCGGCGAAGGTGTCGGAAAAATCTTCACTCCGCCGATCGGGGCATCGATGGGGGACAGGGTCTTGTCAAAGGACTCTTGCAGCTGTTTAGCTTTGATAGACACGTCAGGGCGTTTTTTTTTAACCTCCTCGGGCTTCGGCATGTAGCCGATTTCCGGAGGAGGCTCTGGGACCAGATTGAAGCCTCCCATCAGTATCTCGCTTTGGGACTTGCTCTCCATCTTGCTCTCCATTTTGGACATCGTCAGGGAACCCTGAAGCGAGGAACCGGAGGTGATGGTCTCCTCCATGACTGTCTTCTTGGTCTCCACGGTGGGCTTGTAAGGTTCGTACGGGAAGTCGAATAATTTATTGTCAACGCCTCGAGAGGGTGTTCCCTGCTCCAGTTTGGTGAAAATTTCATGAACGGCCTTCTTTGTTGTATGCATCTCTGGAGGCTTAGGCTCCGGTTTCTTCACCTCCTGGAACATGGTGGACTTCTCATAGTTCTTCGTGAGTTTTCCAACCTTCACTTCGTGGCCGTCCGCGTCGTCAACCAGTTTGATCATCTCTTTCGGTCCTTTGGGAACAGTTTCCGTTTCCCTCGTCATCGACTCGAAGAAGCTTAACGCGTCCTTCTTGGCTATTCTTGACGTCTCTACGTTCTCGTTCTCAATCTTCTCCTCGAACACCGTGCTTTTAGGCTCGCTTCTCACCTCTTCGCGTATTACTTCTTTGATCGTTGTCTTTGCTTCCGTTTTCGGTTCGACTACCGATGGGGTTTGGTGCTCGAGCTTCATGTGGAACTTTTGCTCAGACTTTGTTTCGGTTTTGTGCGATTCGAGGGTGGAGGAAATGGTCTCTGATCGAGACATTTCGGTCTCGGGCTCTTTGATCTTCTCTACGGTGCGGGTCGTTTGTGATACAGATGTCGATACGAGGGGGGTTGTTTTTATGGTTGCTGATGGTTGGATCTTTGTTGTTGATATCTGATCGCTGAAGAGTTTGCTGGAAGGAACTTCCGCCTTCTTTTCGTCGGACTAAATACGAATATGGTATTTAAAACTATTGTTGTACTTTTTTTGTATAGTGACATCAATTTTGATCATTTTAGTGGTGTCAATACAGGTTCTGTTAAATCCTAGCTTTTAGTAAATTATAATTTGATGTTATTATTTTTGAAGATGTTTAAAAGATGTTTTGAAAATGTTGAGTAGTTTAGAAATTTTATTGTACAGTAATTTTAAAATAAGTTAGGAGATGTAGATAAATAATTTATGTAGAAAAATTAGTTTCATAAAGTTCTAGTTCAAATGAGGATAATATTAGAAAAGGAATAAAAATTATTACCTGAAGTAATTTTTTGTCCTGCATGTTTTCGTAGATGACAGTTTTGTGAACTTCGACCATGGTATCAGGCGTTGGTTCGAAAACAGCGAAATCGGCTATGCTTTGCGCTTCTCCACCGGCGTTTGTTGCACGAACCATGTACTTTCCAGCATGTGATTTCTCAGCTAAATAAATACAGATTCAAAAATTATAGTAATCACATTTTTGTAAAATTATGAGAACTGTTATTTGGAATTATTATTAAGAAGTAACTCTAATTTGTTTAAGTAATAACAAATATACATATATGTTTATGTGTGTACATGACTTGAATTACATCAGAGTGTAAGATCTAACTTCGAATTATTTTGACTTTACCAAACTATTATTAATTTTCAACCCTTCTAGGTTTTCGACACTTAGGCTAATCTTAAATAGCCTAAGCTGCCTTATGCGCCATCTAGTAGAATGTGGGAACTAATGAAACTACAGTTTCAAAACTATATAGTTCATCCTATTCTCCAGAAAGATGGCGACACTTATTCTATTCTCATAGAAATTCAATTAACCCCCAAAGTTTTCCCAAAATTTGTTTCCACCACAGAATTAAATATCGACAAATATAAATTAAGAATGAGCTCAAAACAGAGAATATAAAAAACGGCAAAAAACCAAATACAAAAAGATAATTTTAGAAATACCTTTGTCGATAATTAGCATGTAACAATTTCCCTGTTGCTTGATTCGCAGCTCAGGTGGACGTTCTTTGATAGGAATATCGTCCTTGAACCAGGTAACTGTAGGTTCTGGGGTTCCTGTGATTTCTACCTCCATGTTAACACGTTCTCCTCGTTTCACCACTTGAGCTTGGAGTCTTCTGCCGAACACCGGTGGGAATATCGTTTCTGAAATTCATTAATAAATGTACAAATTAATAATATTTATAATCCTAAGTCTAGGTACCGGTGTACTAAGGTACGAGACTAAGTACCTAGTCTTAGTATTATAAATATTATTAATTTGTGCTGTAATTGTACTTAGTCTCGTACTATGTACCTAGGTGATTTAGAACCACCTAGATGACCCAACTCTCAACTAATTCAAGTTAAAAAACTATTATACATGATATATCATACTTTTGACAACGAGATCTGCAGTACTGCTCGCAGAACCAACTTCGTTACTTGCACTGCAAGTATACCGTCCTGCGTCCTTAACGTTCACGTTCTTCAGCTCCAAACGTACATGATTGTGCGCATATGTGATCGTCATTCCATCCTTCGTTTTTAATTCTTGTCCACTCTTTGACCAGGTGATTACAGGCTGGGGGAAACCTAGGAAAAATTAAAAAATTTGTGGAAGTTACATTTATTGAAGTGATACATACATAACACGTCACTCAATAAGTCCCCGGTCAGACACATATATGGCGATACTGGTGACAGACCCACGTTATTTTCGAATAATACTAACCTTCAAACAGTACGTGTCAAAATTTCAGGGTATTCTGACCAATAGTTTAGAAGTTACAGTCATTTTAGTACCCCCAGTTTCGTAATTTTGAAGACAATGGATAGAAAGGAATTTCGTGTGTTGATTAAACACTGTTTTTTAATCGGAAAAATTACTGTTGAAGCCAAAAAGTGACTTCATAAGCATTATAGGGACTCTGCACCAGGGAAATCAACTATCATTGACTGGTATGCTGAATTTAAACGCGGTCATACAAGCGCCGATGATGCTGAACGCTCTGGTTGCCCAAAATCAGCAGTCGTTCCGGAAAACATAATAAATGTCCACAAAATAGTTTTAAAGGGCCGTAAACTTAAGTTGTGTGAGATAGCTGATGCCTTGAAGATATCAGAAGGTAGTGTCTTCACAATTTTGCATGAAAATTTGGGCATGTGCAAATTGCTTTCAAAGTGGGTGCCGCATTTGCTGTTTCACGAAGGCAATGCGCCATGTCACAAGTCGATGAACACGATGGTTCAATTGAATGAATTACGTTTTGAATTGTTTCCTCACACACCGTACTCCCCAGATTTGGACTTCAGCGACTACTGGCTCTTTGCAGATTTGAAAAAAATGCTCCAGGGAAAGAAATTTGGCTCGAATGAAGAAGTGATTGCGGAAACTGAAGCTTATTTTGGGGGCAAAGACAAATCGTTTAATATAAAGGGAATTGAAAAGTTAGAGGTGCGTTGGAATCAATGTATCACACTGGAAGGAATGTATATTGATGATTAAAGTGGAATTTTTAAAAAAAAATTTGTTTTTCTTAGTTAGACCGGAGACTTATTGAGTGACGTGTTATAATTTGATAGCTTACCATCAATGATTCCTTCAAGAACGATGTCGCTACCCTGATCCACAATCATGCCGGTGATCGGTGAAACGAACCTTGGTGCTGTGGCTTTTCTAACAGGTTTTGGTATCTGTGTTGCTTTGATGTCACGTTTAATTCCTTCTTCATCTTGAGACACTACTACAGTCTTTTCTTGACGGATTTCACCTGGCTGGTCTTGGATTATCTTCTCGTGTTCTTCCACCTTGTATGACTGCATAATATTAATAAAAATTTTATGTTCAACAAATCTGCATTTTTTAGGATTCTTCAAAATCTGTCAAGATTTTTGAAATTTGAAGCTTTTATAAATTATTTACATTTTATTAATTTTATGAAGTTTGTGTATTCTGTAAGGATTTCGAATTTGGGTGATTTGAAAATTGTTTAAATTTTGTATATTGTCAATATATAATTTTTGGAAATTTGTTAAATTTAATAAATATGACAAACTGTAAATTTTACGAATACTATCAATTTCATATATTTGATAAATTTCACTAATTCCATAAATTCTATAAATTCTATAAATTGTAAAAATTGTAAAAATTGTAAAAATTGTAAAAATTGTAAAAATTGTAAAAATTGTAAAAATTGTAAAAATTGTAAAAATTGTAAAAATTGTAAAAATTGTAGAAATTCTAAAAATTCTAAAAATTCTAAAAATTCTAAAAATCCTAAAAATCCTAAAAATTCAAAAAGTTCTATAAATCCAATAAACTCACAAACACTATACAATCTCTAAACCCTACAAAACATTCAACATCTTTAATTTCCCTCACATTCCATAAATTTTCTAAACTCCACAAATTCTCCAAATAATCAAAATTTCCTTACTTTTCAAAAATTCTACAAATTCCCTAAACACATCAACCCACCACCTTAACATCATCCAACATCCCAACCTGTCGAACACTAAACCCCCAACTACAAACTCCAATCCCCAAAATCAACAATAAAACACAATTCACTAACAAAACACAAAATTCAACTTACCTGAACAACAGGAGGAGCTCCATCCTGCGACGACGACTGTTCCGTGCTCAAAACCGTGGTCTTCACGCAAACACTAGTCGGTTCTTCTCCAGGTTTCGACAAACTCGAAGACATAGACGACGATATATATTCCTTGGTCAACGTTTTATGTGTCGTAGAAGATTCCGTCACAGTCTCCGACATTTTCGTCAACACTTTATTCTCGCTTCCAACTTCGGTCTTCTCCGAGGAGAAGTGTTTATCGCTGCTGCTTGATGCATGCATCTCGTCGCCGGGTCGTTTTACTATCTCGTATAACTTTTCTTCTACTACCTCTTTTTTATCCCTCTGTTCCTCCCAGCCTAATGACATCGATTAATCATACGATTATCAATAGATCGATGACTACTGTTCTTAGTAAGTGGCTTTGGTTACTGAGCTTTGACTAAGTGGTTTTTAATCATAGAGTGTTTTTGGATTGCTATTTTTGGCGGAGTATTCTGGGAATGATAGGAAAAGAAATTTATGGGGCGAAGGTTGTCTCGAGGTTAGACTTTACAAAAATTGTGTAGTAAATTTTGTAAACTGCACTTTCTAATATTTTTGTTTTTAAGTGAATTCATTTTTTGGAATATTAAAATGTGGAAAGTTGTGGTATGATATTAAATATATATATAATTTGAGATAATGTTGTAATATAAGACGTTGCATTTTATATGGGATATTTCTTTTTCCTTTTAAGTATTACAATAATTGATATTTTGAAATAATATTTTGGTGTGGTTAAATTATATGAAATTTTATACACTGTGTAATTCATATAAATTTTAGAAATTCGGAATTTTGAAGTGTTGGATTTTGGAATTTGGAATTTTGAAATTTTGGAATATTGAATTTTGGAATTTTGGAATTTTGGAGTTTTGGAATTTTGGAAATCGAAATTTTGGAATTTGGAATTTTGGATTTTGGATTTTGGAATTTTGGAATTTGGAATTTTAGAAATCGAAATTTTGGAATTTACAATTTTGGAAATTGAAATTTTGGATTTTGGAATTTTTTAATTTTGGAATTTTGGAATTTTGGAATTTTGGAATTTTGGAATTTTGGAATTTTGGAATTTGGAATTTTAGAAATCGTAATTTTGGAATTTGAAATTTTGGAAATCGAAATCTTGGAATTTGGAATTTTAGAAATCGAAATTTTGGAATCTGGAGTTTTGGATTTTGGAATTTTGGAATTTTGGAGTTCGAAATTTTGGAATTTACAATTTTGGATTTTGGAATTTTTGAAATTGGAATTTTAGAAATCAAAATTTTGAAATTTGGAATTTTGGAAATCGAAATTTTAGAATTTGGAATTTTGGAGTTCGAAATTTAGAATTTTGTATTTTGGAATTCTGGAATTTGGAGTTTTGGAATTCTGGAATTTGGAGTTTTGGAATTCGTAATCTTGAAATTTGGAATTTTGGAAATCAAAATCTTGGAACTTGGAATTTTGGAATTTGGAATTTTGGAAATCGAAGTTTTGGAATTTGGAATTTTGGAATTCGAAATCTTGGAATTTTAAATTTTAGAAATCGAAATTTTGGAATCTGGAGTTCTGGATTTTGGAATTTTGGAATTTGGAATTTTGGAGTTCGAAATTTTAGAATTTGGAATTTTGGATTTTGGAATTTTGGAATTTGAAATTTTGGAATTCGAAATCTTGGAATTTGGAATTTTGGAAATCAAAATCTTGGAACTTGGAATTTTGGTAATCGAAATTTTGGAAATCGAAGATTTTGGAATTTGGAATTTTGGAATTCGAAATTGGATATAATATATAATATGAATATAATATATAATATAATAATTTGGAATATGATATGAATAACAAATATATACATATATGATAAATATAGAACAATAAACATGTAACAATTTTGAATATACATAAAAAATGTACATATAATATAATCCTAATTTTCTCATATTTCACAGTTAAATTCCTGTAAATTCTCCTTCACTTTCAATCGAAATAATTTTTACCAAAATAATTGAATCGCACTCTCTGGCCAGAAACCAAGAGGCACATTCGAATCAAGAATTTGTCTTCGAATATCTGGACCGCGAAATTCGTCGTGACTTGTCCTGAATTCGTGAAACGTCCGTCCAGATGCGTATCCAGTGAAATCATGCTTCAACGTTTACGCGAAAATCTGTGCCATCTGGTTTTTTTCTAGGAAACACTCGCGTTGAAAGATCGTAAAAAACTGTTAACCCCCTGCTTTAAAACATCGTGTAACTCTCATTATGGTTCACGTCTTACACATATTTTCATTAAAATCGAATTTCAAGCTTAACCTTCTGAGGGTGTGGTTTACGAAACACGTAGTAAAATTATAGGTACATGTTTCAAAATCACAGTCAGATGTGTTGCGTAAAAATAAGGTAAAAATGAAATAAATACAGAAAAGAGTTCTCTAAAATTGAATTCAGCGAGAGTAGATTGAAATTAGATTAAGGCTACTTCAATTATAGTAAGAGTAAGATACTAGTCTGCAAAAGGTACACGCAGCTAGAAGTTTGACCTAACCTTTTGACCTTAATTTCTGTTTTTTCTACAAACTTCTTAATTTATAAAATGAATCAAGTAGGGGGTTCTCAAAGAATGTATTGTAACTGTGTGGAGAATGTGACAAATAAATTTTTCATTTATTTATTTATATATATTTAGTAGTAATACTATTTAAGATTAGAGAGTAAAGACATAACTGAAATGTACAATTATTAACTAAAATTGAAATTCCATCAAAGGAAAGTATATTCATCTAATCTATTTAACTGATTTAATCAGATCCAAGAGAAATGTGATGTTAATCCACAGTCGAGTGCAAAAGGTCAATTTTAACACTAAAATTACCAAACCTGTTAAATGACCGCTCCACAAGTTTCTTATTATAAACTATCCATTTTGTTAAAATACATTCCTTGAAATCAGAATTGATTTTCATCAAGATGAAGAATAAACGTGTGTACTAATTTATGTTTCGTCGTTTGTTTATTTATTTTTCAATTTCATTTTTAATTTCAAATTAGGTACACATTATATGTCGGTAGGTTTAGTGTTAATTACAACTCGTCCATCACAATATTCAAAAAATCTTCAAAATTTGGATATAAAATTCTTTGACAGTCTTAACATTAGAGTTATAATTAAGTGGCTGTGACCGACGTATTTAGAAAAGCGTGGATTAAGGGTGTAAGAGTGATTGAGAAAGTTGGAGAGTGATTTTGAGATATCGATGAAGCGAAGCGAGACGAGCCCTTCCAACAAAACGGTTTGCCTACAATCGACGACAGAAATAGTATCGTTCACCTAGCACGACGGAAATCGACCACTGGGACGCAATTTATAAAGTCGAACACGAGAGAGATTTCGTCGGGTCCATTTGGATTACCACCACACGGTTTGCTAATATTAATATCGAGGAATTTGTGTCGAACTGTTCGATCATTGGTTTTTGAATGAGATGCAAACGTAATATTTATGGAGATCAAGGCTAGTGTTTAATGTTTGAGAGTTGATTGTGAGTCGATACCTTGATGTATTGATATGGAGAGTTATTGCACTTTTTCCAAAAGTGGCTTTTTTTGGAAAAGAAAATTTTGAATAGTGATTTGGTGGAAGATTTTATTACACACATAATTATATTTGAGTTAATTTAACAGTGTACCTAGATGAAAGACAGAGATTATTTAATTAATCGTCAAAATTGTTAAAATAGTTTATAAACTAAAATTAGATTCAATCAAAATTTAGTCTGGATTTAAATGTAATTTGAAATTAAAAAAGAATTATTCAAATTTATAACTGTTACAATTTGGATGATGACAAAACATTTTTTAATTTATTGTATTATTTTATTATGGAACAGAAGTTGTACTTTATAAAATATTGCAAGATGACACATCAATCAGAAATTGATAAATTTTAATCAAAATTGAAAAATTTTGAAAGAATGATGTACCAGAGGAATTTTATTTACCAATGAAATATTTTTACCCATAATTTTAACCCAATTTGGGAACCCCAAATTAACGCCATTTTTAACCCACAATTTTAATAAATATTTTAACCGTAAATCACTATAACTTTCAGTTACAAGTTATAGTAAAATTATTTAGTAAAATATAAAAGTTTAGTAAAATTATTTAGTAAAATATAAAAGCTTAGCAAAAGTATTTAGTAAAACCATTTAGTAAAAGTATTTAATAAAAGTATTTTGTAAAATTATATTAATTTGTAATTGACACCGATGAACTCGAACAAACTATAATGTATAACTGTTAAAAATGCAACTAAACTCCACCTAACATATAGATAAGAATAATAATGGTATTCCCATTTCTAATTTCCATTACCATTGAGTTCAAGAACTGTTCCACTTTAATTCTTATCAACGCAACAGTTAAACATATCTCGGATATTCAGTGAAACTGAAAACTCTACACGATGTATAAAGATGTACATGAATAATAGCAATATTTTTAGTTGATGTTCTCACTGACTTCATTTAAACAATGAGCTGTTTATGATGTCATAAATAAAGATTAACATAAACTTTAAATTCTGAACTAAACTTGTTAACATAATATTGAATTGTAATCATTGATTATTGATTAAGTTCTCCACTTGTATATACATATAATTTTCAATCAGATACAATACTGATAACAATTAAATTTCATTGAAATTAATAATTAAATTAATTACAAGTTGTAATTAATTACTGAAGATTAATAGTCAAGGAAGTATTAAAATATAAATAAAAATTCAATATTTTATTTGACAAGTTTGAGTCAGAAATTGAAACTCTACTTTTACTTAAAAAAATCATTCAAAAAACAACCCTTACTGTTGTTTGAAATTTACTTGTATAAATTCAAGAGAATGTTAGACAATAATATTAATAATAACAGCAATAGTAATATTAATAATAATATTAATAACAGTAATGAACCATTTCTTAACTTTCACCTGCACAAAGATTCATCACATAATCTCAAAAGTTAAAAAATTCCCAAATATCTCATCAAAATCACCAAATAATATTTACATCATTTAAAAAGACCTCAAAACACTCCATTTACCTCCCAAAACAAAAAATAGCAAACATACTTGTAACAAAAAACAGCAAACATACCTGTATATGCAAAACAGTGTTTACAACAATCCACAGATCAACAATATTCACATCGAAATAAACTTGCAAACTGCTCAATAAATATTTCACAGAACAATATATAAACTTGTAAGGTAAACTTGTTAAGGAACGTAAAGTTCATAGACGATCTTACCAGGAGGATCGATTGATCGAAAA